TTTTTCTTTTTTCATTAAAAATCCAACCTTAGGATTTTGTCCTCGTACACTTTGACCCTTACCTATCCTCTTCTCTCGCTCGTTCCACTTCTCAAAAAATAACCTATATTTTTACTTTTTTCTCATTTTTCTTTTTTAATCGTTCGCCTAGCTAATAATGTACACGATATTTTGTTTCACTTACAATGTACTTCGAGTCGCCACTTAAAAGCTATTTTATCTCACGCACAGCGCTTTCTGGTTTCTTTTTTCTTTCTTTTTTTCTTCTCCTTCTTTCACTTAACGACGATTCAAAATAACAGCTCTCGTCGCCGCTGCACGATAGTTTATATATATATATTTTTTGTATTTATATGTATGTATATATTTATTTATAATTCTTTCGTTTCTTTCCTCGCGATCGGTATCGTGTCCTTTTCGGGCTGCGAATTATTACGGGTCGAGAAATGGAAAGTATTTTCTTGTTTTTTTCCTCAAAAAAATTGCCAATCATTTTACATTCACTATTCCGAGTGACATACAGTATTGAATTTTCAGTTATTTCGTTGTATTTTCGTACGATTTTTTATTAATATCTCGCGTGTTGATCAATTTTTTTTTTATATAAAAAACAATTGACGGACATACGGTGAAATATATTTGGTGTTGTTTCGTACCTTGGGCCACAATTCTTATGTTTTTAAGGTACATACACGATAGAACTTTGTTCATTGTACCTACAAGTTTTTGATTCGTTTACAGGTTTTTTTAACAGGCGAAAACGAACTTTACCAAACGAAAGTTTCTATTTGCAAGCATTAAGGGTTCATTCTAGTAATTAGGCTTTTCAAAATTGTTTTTTATTAAATTAATGATCCGTAATAAATTTCAATAAATATTTCACTACGTTTGAATTTCAATTTTTTGATGATTCTTCATACTGGGAAGACACTAAGAGATTTTCGGATCACGCATAGTCTGGAGATTTACATAAACTTACGTTTTATATGTTTCAAGCGTGTAAACGTTTGCTCGTGTTCGCCCACCGAAATATAGAACGATATTATGTTTACGAAGGAATTAATGGCACGAAATATTTGTGGTCCGCGAGATGGACTGAAGGCACACCTTTTATAATCCATAACCATGTGCTACCTATGGAATCACTCGGAAAATTCATTAATTTTAATGATTAATTTCTAAACCCTAATGTTTGATTTCATCATCATTCTCTCGTCAATTGCAAATTCTTAACTTCAAGTAATTATATAAAAGTAGAGATAAAGCAGTTGCTTCAGGAAAAAAAGAAGAAGTGAGTTATTAATTTCACTACACTTTTACTTTTAAAATTTTGGCTCTGGATTGAAGCCCTTATTAAACAAACCTTTATTGTTCATATATTATACATTTTCATTGATTTTATTAAAATACATAGACAATAAAAATTGACTTTGATAAGGGCTTCAATCCAAATTAAAAATATTAAAAGTGAAAATAAGGCAAATTAATAACCCATTTATTATTTTTTTAAAATATTTCTTTGGACTGAAATGGCAGTTCTACCTCTACTTTTATAATCACTCTTTCATGTTTGATCGCCATTCAATATCAACTTTTTTATATCGTTCTTTGATCATCGAAGTTTTGATTCGTGAACGTTGAACGTTCGTTTGATTCGTTTAAAGCACGATCCGTCTATATTTTCAATTAACAACAGTCACCGTATATCGTTTCTTCTACCCCCCATTTTCTTTTTGCTCGTCTAAATCCCGAAGGTTTCACCGTATCACAGTGAAACTGCTGGATTTTATGACGAGACAGTTTCATTATCGATACGCAACGAGACTGTCGATGGATGACTCGAAGGGGTTGGAACGGAAGGAGAATAGCTTTGGATCGTGCTTAAAATCGAAAGGGATAAAACATGGGGTAAGAATAGTCTAAAGCTGAAGCCATTATTTGACAAAATACCGGCTGGAATTCGTCGTTTTCTTAAAAAGAGAATGTGCGACCTTCGAAACATCAATTTTGCAGAATTATAGGGGACATAAAAGGTTCTAAAATTAAAAAGAGAGATGAAATTTCATTCTTTGCAATTATGCAAAATAAAAAATATATATTCAGGACCATTTAGGACTCATTTTTACCCATTTCCTATAAAAATATGCATTTGCATAAACACCTACAGTATATTGGGACACATGCAATATTCATCTATTTATTATAAACAAACAAGATCATTTCTAGAGGTATCAAGAATGCCACATGTGGCAGCGGTTTAAGACGACATGTCACGTCTCAAATTGTTTTATTTAGATTATAATATATTCTATTATTGCTCCAATGCCTATCGCTGTTCAAGACTATAGTGGACTGTGCATTTAATGCAACAATGGGCACAGGGACAATAAAATGATATGCTATAATCAAAATAAATCAATTTAAAAGTGATATGTCGCCTTAAGCCGTTCCCACACATGTTGATCTTAATATATCTGCGACTGAATATCTAATGCAATATGTGTTATAATTTAAATAAACCAATTTGGGGCGCAATATGCCATTTTAAGCCACCATTACATGGTTTCATTTTGATATTCTGTGAATGTTTAAATCTATAATTGATAGAAATATCAAAATCGATCCACTAGATGGTGGCTATATATTGAACTTCCTATAAATCTGCAAAGTTTGGACCAAAATCAGTGTTCCAAAGATAGTACCACCTCATTGTTAATCATTCCTTTTGTTAGCAACTGGCAATAGTTTTGAACAATTTGATTTCTCGATACGACGGAATGAAATAGAGGCAACCATTGAGTGATCGAGTCAAAGGACAAGATACACATTCGCGAGGAATGAATTCGACTCATCTAATCTAACTTTCGTGCTGTTTGTGCAATGTGTCTACCTACGAATTGTTTAATTTCTTTCTCGTCTCTCTTGTGCTGTAATTTTCATTGTTGTTTCACTCTCACTCATTCTCACCCCCCCCCCCTTTTTTTTTATCTTATACTGTTAGCGTGCTCGTTCCCTTCATGCATGCTTTCAATCTCATTTTACCATTTTCATCGTTTTCATTAAATCGGCAAAGTCGAAATTCGGGACGTAAGACAGACCATGGCTCGAGATCCTTATTTTCATCCCTATATTTTTTCATCCTCTTTAAAATTCACCCTCCCCCCAAAAAAATGATCTATACACCCTTTCGTTGTCGCGAATTCGTAGTTTCACAAAGCTGGACAGCTCGAAGAGCGAGTTTACAGCAGAGAGACGCAAGGTATCGTTCTCTTTCCTAAGCTTAACGATTTATTGCTTAAGCGTCTTTAAGTGCAGACCTTTATTCCCGTTTCTTCTTTTGGTTCTATGGTATTATATAAAAATCTAAGGTATTAAGTTAAAAACCACGGTAGACCCGAAAACACGATTGATTGAGAGCCGACCGAATCACCGGACGCTACATCTGTTCAGCAAAAGACACGTCTCGGCGCATACGACTGATCATCTTTTATAAAAATATCCAACTGTCTAAGTGTCGCGATCAGAAGGATCAAATCGAACAATAAAAACGACTTCTCGACTGTTATTCTTGTATTCATTTTTTTGTTCTTTTTTCTTTTCTTTTTGTCTGGCGAACATGAGTCTGATGTACAAAGAAACGGAACAACCGAAGAGGGAGGTTCCTCTAACAACGACGAAGAGGAATCTCTTTGAATACGCGTGGATCTATCAGTTCCGTGGTTCGCGAGAAGATGAAACAGTTTCTCATGGAGCGCGGAATCGTCGAGTTTTACTATTCTTTTTAATTTTATTTCGCTTGGAGGTCTGTTCCCGCCGAATTTCGAATAGCCCTCGAGCAACGGTTTCATTATAACGTACCTACCTAACTATCTAACTACGGTTGGATTTTCGTTTATAATAACCCCTTCTTCTTCTTCTTCTTCGTCATTTTTTTTTTTTGTGTTTCTTTTAAATTTAATTTATGTATATATATATTCTTCACGAAGTGTGCACGTGTTCCGTTGATCTCTCCTTTTAATTCGTCATTTATACATCATTGATTAAATAGTTTCATTTTGTCGGCCGTCGTATCGCGCTTCCGTTCACGTCATCGACTCAATAAAATGTATCTTCTCACTGTTAAGCCGAAAACTACAAAAATAATGAATCCGGGTTATACGGGTCACGTTGTAATTGGCTGCGATCCCGTCGATTGGTTTTTCTTTCTGTCTTTCTCGGTGTCGGATCACACGGTATTTCTTTTTTTTTTCTTCCCCTTTCTTTCTTTTCTACCATTCTTTTCGAGCTGCTCGTTTCTCTTCTTGTTAACCGATCCTTTTGCGGACGATGCGACACACACAGAAACACACACATACACACACACAGAGAGAGAGAGAAAATATTGGCTGTTTACGTTACAAACAGGTCTTTGATGATCACATTGGGTGGTCCGCGTATCCCGGAATTCGTGTTTCATTACCGAAGCTTTGACACTACCGTGACGGCAACGCTATCTATTAAATTCAAGCCGAGAGAAACGGTTACATTATCCTTACTAGACTGGACGAGAGGATACCTCTTGATTTTCGTTTCACGGTTACACCTGGCGTTCCTCTTTTTAGTTTCTTTATTTTCTCTGTTGAATTTGGACGTGAGAGATTTCTATTCGTTTCTTTCTTTCTTTCCCCCATTTTTTTTTTTTTTTTTTTTTAGAGACAACATATTCATTCTCCTTTTTGTCTATTGTTCATCAAGATATATGTATGTGATTTTAATTTTAATTTTTTTGAAAATACTTTTCCTAGGCGATTATTGCCCTTCTAGTTTTCTATCAAGCCGGAAGCGGCATGATCTTTGTCGCTTTTGCAGTCGCGGTGGCGTCGATGGTGACGGAAATTTTGTTGTTGTTGTTGTGGTTGTTGGTGGTTGTTGTGGTTGTTGTGATAATGGTGGTGGTAACTGTTGTTGCTGTTGTTGTTCCTGTTGGTTGGGTGTACTTGCTTACCATCACACTAGAAGGCTAGGCGTCAGCCAGTCCTCATCCGCTAGCTGGACCGCAACCAAGAACACACTTTACCATTTGAACACACAAATGCTGGTTAAAGTCTTGGTCCGAATTTCAAGAAAGTAATAGAAATATTTCTCGACAACTAGTTTCAATCCTTTCACTCGTTCTCTGACACGCAATTGCCTCGAATTCTTTGAATAATTATTATGTTAATACAAAACTAATTGAGGTTTGTAATTAATATTTTTGAAAATTGCCATCTTTTGTATATTATTGTGGTAATATTTTAAATATTTGTGCTATACGTTTAATATGGCAGAGGAAAAAATTAAATATTGATTGCTGAGTTAGATTTATGCATTTTTGTGCATTGATTGCACTTGGCAACTATAATCATTTTCAAAACATTTATTTTCCTATCACTCAGAATATTTTAAGTAAATATCAAAATTTAACCCTTGCACAGCAATATCAAGGTCAATTATGATCCAGATCCACGAAACACTTAGAAAAGAAAAAGAGATTTATAATTAATTTTAGGACTTAGTCTGCCATTCAAGGATTAAAATAACAACAACCGCAATTAGTTTTGCACCAATTTTGATTTTTCTTTTGTTCCTTCTTTCATACAACCCCTTTCATTTCACACTTCACAAACATACACAGATACACACACTGATTCGATCTGAATCTACCTTTACCGTGACTCAACCTCAATTGCTTTTAACAATTTAAAAGCAATCAAAGAGATACTTGCCCTAAGAATTGTGTTGCATAACGGGGAGGAATTGTATCAGTGAGGTGTAACACGTCTTGTAATTATTTGAATCATTGTGTTCGAATATTTTGTTTCGTTTCTTTTGATGGATTAACGGTTATCGGCTCAATGAAAGTTTCTCGTTGGGTATTTTTCGCTTTTGTTTCTTGAGTCTGTCCCATTTAATTGGCATTTTATGCTCAACGACGACAACCATTCTATAAATGCGTTCTCCGGCGACATTTTTCGGGTCGATTTCGAGGTTGAGCCCGGTCGTAGATGCAGTATTCTTGATGCAAAGTGATATTTGAAAGTAAGGATAAGCCAGGCCGTGCGATGATAGTGGTAGCGATCACTGTGCCTGCGAATCGAAATTTGTAAATAAAAATGATTCTTTTTGAATGATTTCAAGCATCTCCCTTGGCCCACAAAAATTATTTCAAGTAACAGAGTCATCTTCTCTTTTTTTAATAGAAGAACCTTAATTATCCGTAAACTCATATAATAGGTATTATTTTTTATATAAAATTGAATTATTTCTTATTAATTCTAGTGTGATACAAAGAATTTTAAATATTGAAGTTTCAATGGATAATCAAGTGTTTTGCTGCCTACATAAGAGTTAATTAGATTAGCGATATATTTTGAAAACACGTTTTGTGAGGGAGATACTTGATTTTAAACAAATGAAATTGAATAAGCGTGTATTTTAGCCTTTGAATATTACAATAAACATTCGTGCATCGTGCGAAACTAAATAAAAGCGACTATAATATTTGTATAACTATCATATTAAAAAATTTTGTATGGGTTTTAAAAGAAATAAATAAATATAAAATGATGAAACTGTCAGATTGTTAATAATTTAATTACAAGTCAGTATGAAAATTTGTTCCCCTTATAAATTAAATCATGTGCATTTAAAAAAAGAAATCAGTTCGATTGAACGAAAAGAGGTATCAAGTATGAAGGTTTAATTCAATTATATATTTATATTGAACTCCGAAGAAATCAATAAGTTTTATTTAATCCCCTGTTTTTATAGATATTGAGGATAAAACGTTAATTCTTGAACCAATCGCAGCATTTGGATAATAGGAATTTATACTAACAAAAAGCTATTTTTTTATCGCACTAATTCAGTTCTTATTAGTTAATAATATTTTGTTAGCACTGTGCTGCAATAATCAATATAGAATCTAATAACATAAAATTGTTAGTATTCTGCAAAGTATATAGTAATAATTTCATTGTCCAATAAATTTTAACATTTTTAATTTTAACAGTAATTTTTACAATTAAATTTTATATTAATTATCTAGTATTCTTAAAGAAAAAATGTACTGGACAATGTTACAGCTGCATTCATAAATAAATTGTTATGAAAAATACACGAATGAACATTAATTAAAGCATTCGTTTAAAAACAAAAAGATAATTAGGTGTAAGTTGTGGAATTGCGTGCACCATAGAATAATTAATTAATTAATAAAATGCAACTAAAATTCATCGTGCAACGTGTGACAGTCGAAGGGCGTGGTATTTATTATGCAAAATGGGATATTCACCGAGACAGTGAAACCAACATTCCTATTAAAAAGCCACTCGTAACACAAGTTTCCATGTTAAACATCATTCAATCATTCAGTAGATCTTTTTACTGTATACAGAAGCCAAGACTGTATATGAATTTATAAAACTATTTCACACAATTTGATTCATTCATTGGATAGTGATTTTTCATGAATTTCATTTTATTTGATTGGGCATTATATTTAATATAAAATAAATCTATATAAAAATCTATACATAATCAAAATGCAGGTAAGATGTAAATTAACATATTTTTTGTAATATCCCTTTCTCCATAAAACACAAAATAGAAAATATGTTGATAGTTACTTATTTACAATTTCCCAATGAATGAATCAAAAATATAATATTTGATGCAAGAAACACGTAAGGCAAGGTACATAACATGTACCAAGAGTAAAAGTTTCCATACATATAACCAAATGTGCATATATATAAATAAAAGATAGGGAAAAGTAATGGTTACCTGGAACTGTTGCATCGGGTAAGCCATCATTTGCGCTGGAGGTGGCGGTGGTGGGGGTGCGGCTTGCACCCCTGGGGGTGCCGTGACCGTCGTGGCATGGTGTGGCGGTAACTGTGGTCCCCCCGGTAATCCCTGGCCCCAACCTGCTGCCGTGCCAGCGGCATGAACGCCCATTCCCATTCTGTATTTATAACACATTCCACATACATATGATTAAACCATGTTAGAAAAAAATAGAAATGACATTACACTATTACATTATGTACTTTTGGAGAGTGTTCTTATTTTTATTGCAAAACGAATTTGTAGTATACATAGACTAGCATAATAATTGAGTCTGAGAGCGCAAATAATAAATTTTATATATAGAAAATAGTAATAAAACCTATCAAACTCTATATATTCCTATTTAAACTGTTTAGGAAATCAAATATTTTTTTTAATAATATCAGACATAAAGTCACACGTTTTAGACCCATGAATAAATATGTCGTTCTATAAAAATGAAAGAAGGTTCCAAAGGTCTATCAACGACACAGTAGACTGAAAAGTTCAGGTTATCTAGGATGTGTTACAGTACAGGTTTACAATCGTGGTAATACTTGAAAAGCATTCGGGTACGATGTTTAAGGGCACCGTTTCACGGATCGTAAAAACCCTGAAAGATATTTTGCTTGCCAGAAAGCACCTCCGGTTCGTTCGTGCCGTGTAACCTCTAAAAATTGCGCGATCGGCAAATGCACAAATTCGATTTGATGTCTGTGTTGAGGGTGCATCGCGTACCGTTTTTACCATTTTCCTCAACGATCTGAACGGTTAGGCATTCTATAAAAATCTTGGGAAATAAAATTCCACCATTATCGTAACATTTAATGCGTTTTCATACCGATCGACGACGAAAAAAATTTCTTAAATTTACCAAGAAATTTTCTGTACACTATTGTTACTTTTGTTACTTGCTGTTTTTAAGCCATTCAAATTGATATAAATAAGAGTTAAAAGAGAAAATGGTTCACAAATGGTAAGGACAGATATTACAAATTGATGTAATATGAAATTAAAATATTTCAATGGTTTTCAATATTTGTAAACTGAAGTTTCAATTTTCAGAAATCGTAATTCCAAGTCTTTTTAATTTACATTTAACTTACTTTAAAGATGAAAAAGAATACTATAGTCATAACTATAAATTCGTTACTTTTGTATCATAACCATTTGTACTAAACTTTTCTAAGAACAACATGAAAGTTAATATTAGAATAAAAAGTTTCTCTATTTTGTCGAAGAAACCATTTAATTTAATAAATTGTAAAAGATATTCAAATAATTGTACTCTCAGGTCATTATTAAACAGTTAAAAATAACATTTCTCATTTTCTATATGAATGAACTATTACATGTTTCTTGATACACTTTAAGAATCATTTTTCGTATTTCAGTATAGCTTCGCGACTGATTTATTAAGGGTAAACGTCGAAAAAGAATTCGAAAGCAACGCATGTCTAGCATTTCCCCAGCTTTTCTGCCATTCAAATCTCAAAGGGAGCGTAAAATGACAGTTTCAGCCCTGCGTTGCACGACGCACACACAATTGAGGGCTTTAGCTTATTTCCACCGTGTACCGTTTCTACTTTACAGTCCCGAGAATACTCCAACAGCATTCGGATACCCACTTTAAGGGCGTCGTTTCATAGATCGTAAAAGCGTCGAAAGATATTCTATTCGAGAAATTACTTTAAGCTTTATACCATGTGATCCTTAAAAGTTGTGCCCCTTTTGTACCGTGGCCATTTGCGACAGGGCGTATAGACATTTTATGACATCGTCAAATTTTCAATTAAATTTATTCACTGGTTTATCGTGAACGAATTCTTGCAAAATACGCATTGTTTAAATCTTGATAATTGCAAATTTACGAAGAAGAACTCAATTCTTTTGAAACACAACGAAGATGGAAACATTACTCTTCCTATTGAACGAGTAAAAATGAAATATTATTAATATGTACATCTTGTATAACGAAGTTTCAGTTTGTTTTCATCCTTTCCTCAAGCTTTTCATTTGTTTCTTTTATCTTTGGTCTCCGGAAATGAAAAGTGTTCGTTTTGAAGGAATCTTTGCAATGCCCGATATCTTTTAACCGGGATATCTGGAATGGTCAAATTAAACGAACAAAGAAATATTTCTGACAAATTAAAAGAATCGTTAAAAGCGAATGTATAGAACAGCGGTTGCAATTCTGGTGGAAAATTAAGTACCTACAGTGTCTACTACTAAAATTAATTTACTCGCGAATAAATTTAATAAGTATTAAAATAAGTTTACCACTTTTACATAATATTACATAAATATAATAGAAAAAGATAAGATAGATGATCATTTAAAATATCGAGAAGGTGGTTTGACGAAAACCAAAATGTTTCACTTAATTAGATATCGTTAAATGATAACTCGAAATTAATATAATTTGTCAATTAATACTGATAATTTGGAGGCCTTTTAAGGAATATAAAAATTGACCTATGTATTCCTATCTTATAAGGTATCAAAGGATGGAAACTACACTCGATAACTAGATATCTACAATCGCCTTTGAGTTTACTGCCGCGCCGTCTGACCAAGCGCAGACATTACTACTTGCCGGACCCTGTCTGACCTAGGGAGGGTCTAACCTAGAACCTCCTAACATTATAGACGAATAGGACACACGGTCTGATATTTTTGTCCTTATACTTGCCCTTTACTAACAGAAGCCGTAGGTAGCAAAGAATGACATACCTAGATTACAAGAAGTGGTTAGGAACTCACCCCATATATTGCGCCTGTTGATACCCAGCGAATTGTCCGTAAGTGTATCCTTGCATTCCTTGAAGAAAACCACCGGCCTGCATCTGCGTCGCTGTCGTTGGATAAGATTGGGGCGGATACCAGTATCCGAGCTGTCCAGCACCGCCGACGCCACCGACGCCTCCGACGCCCGCGACACCCGCCGCCGCCGCGGCGGCAGCTGCTGCCGCCGCGTAGTATGGGTACGTCGCCGACGATAACGCCTGGAAGAGCACGGGGATCAATGAAATAGAAAAGAATAAGAACATTGCCTCGATTTTATGCTTAACGATGTCAATAGGGTTAAGAATGGTAATATTGCTCGGCTAAGGATTCTCGTAATGCCTCACATGTGCCGTTAAATTGTCAGCCCACCGACGAACCGGCGATTACTTCAACATGTCGCAGGACCGTCTCGCCTGTTCGCTTTTCGAATTAGCGTGAAATTTCTTTAGATCATTGCAAGTGCAATTGCTGTGTTCATGGTACCGCTTATTGCCACGGTGGATGAAATATTGAGATAGCCGATGATAAGGAAAGAAGCGAAAAGAGAACGCTATAACACGACGTTCCAATGATATTAAATCGAAATCTTTTATAAGATGGCTATTAACGAAGTCTTATGGAAATTCAAGCTTCGTCTATGCACAGATATTTTTATAGAATTTTTCGGTCCAACTGCATCGAGCAGCAGACTAAGTCACGATGAGATGCGTAGTAATGCGATATCCCAGTAGCTGGTTCTCCCTGTGGGAGAACCGAGTTATGGGAATAGGGATCAATTAGAGCGATGTCACGGGCCGAGTAACAGTGGATGGATGGATGGATAGATGGATGGATGGGTGAGTGCAAGGGACGAGGAGAGGTTGTACTTCGGCTACCATTCCCAGATCGGACGTACTTACTCGTCCTACCGGCGCTAATTGCTAAGAGACCCCGACAGACACACTTTAGAGAACAGGCATCGTGAATAGACCGGAATCTTGCGCGATTCCCTGTCTTCCCTTCATCCTTCCGTTTTTATTCTTACACCCGAAACTTGAGCCGTGTAACCTGTTTTCTTTTTCATTTTTCCTGATTTATTTCTGATAACGACCTAAGGTACCTAGATACCTATTTCCACGCTGATGTTAAATAGTTTGAAATGGAAATGGAGCAATGACGCAAAAGATCCCTTTTATACTTTGGACTTAAGCTTTCTTCTGATTTAATTTCAATTGGAACGTTAACCAAGGAGATATGTACGATTTCGATCGAACGGTCTTATACGATAATGCGTTTGCCAAGATATCTCAATCCCTAATTCAAACCAAACTCAGTTCTAGTTCAAAGTGAACTTGGTACTAATTGCTACGATCTCTGGCACATACTCGAAACTTCAAGCATAGTTTGATCATGAACTTGTCGAATGACGTTCCTTCCAAATTTATATGGCTTTCTTCAAATTTCTTATTTCTTCTATGACTAATAAACTTCATTCAAAAGTTTGAAATTTCATTTGGCTCCTTATCGTTTACCTGTCCAGTTTGTTGAGCATTGTTTGGATCTCCGCTCTCCTTGCCCCAGCTGCATTTCACCGTCTGGCCATTGATATCGGTGTTGTGTACCGCCACAATAGCGTGTGTCGCCGATTCTTTGGTAGAAAACCTGAAAAAAAACAATAAAATTCACATTAGTTTAACAGCTTTAAGAAATCCCCTTTGTTTGTCGAAAATAGTACCCATAAATGGCACTCTTTAAAGCAAATTTTCAAACACCCTATACATTGCAATTTCATATATGTATTTTACCTATAATTTATTTCATAATAATTTGTATATCTTTTTTAAATAATCCACGTATGTAAATTGTATTTATTTTTCCCGACTAAATTACTATTTTAATCATTTCCAAACAAATTCCCTATCCAAATAACAGCAGATCGTATCGCTTTCAATGTACGTATCTCCTTATCTAGTTATTCTAAAACGAACAGGAGCTGATCGTTCGCCAATTCCAAGCACGTATCCCAACAAAATTCGATCAATTTCGTCGTTCTCGCATCTTACGAGGTCTGGATGGTAAATTGACGAATAGTAGACTCTTCACTCTGATGGTAGGAAGAATAAACGAAAAATCATCGAATTTATCAAGAGATTTGGTCTTTTAACATCCCGAGTCAAGGGATCCGTACAATAGAAGTACCGTTGAGAAGTTCATACCTCGTACTCGAGGATGGTCATCGTCAGCAAGCAACCCTCTTTTCTCACATCCAACTGTAAAGCTTGGACCGATAACCAGCAGTAGATAAGATCCTTTCTTTTCATCGAGAAGAAAGGAGCTCTCTCTCTCTCTCTCTCTCTCTCTCGTTCACATTTGGCTAGGTTCTATACACAGTATCCAGAGGAGTACGTCCATACGTCATCCCGAGATATTCGTTTCCGGGCTTCCTGACTATGGAAGAATGGACGAAGGAAGAGCAATTAGACGGAAGATATCCGAACGACGGACATTGTCCATGGGTGGCGGAACTGCCACGGACAGAGAAGAGATACCGGATGACGGAACGGTTGTTACCGTTCGACTTGGACGAAAGAATGCGACGGAGAAACGTCAACCAGGTCGAACGGCAAGGGTAAGAGGAAAGGAAGAGTTTTTTCCTACCCTTATTCTGCTCGTTTACCACCTATCCTCTCTCACGTTTCAGCTGCTGATGCTTCGAAGGTAGGTCAGAGAAATCTAGCTGTCTTTAAGAAGTACTGATAGATGCGCCTTTCGACGCTTTTTTCGACTCCTCGAGCTTCCTTCCATGTATGTTGCACTCGTTCATTTGTCATTTGTAAAATACTGTTCCAGAGTGAAAAGTGCTGAGTGGCTAAGATAGATGTTTAACCCTTTAAATAAACGGTTGACTAGGACATCTTGGAATCTTAGAATCTCAGAATTTTAGAACGTTAAAATCTTAGATCTTGAATTTTTGGTAATATCTTTAATTGAAAAAACAGATGGATTTGCGAATTTAGAAGGAATGCAGTTGTGTATTATATTTTACTTTATACATTAGATAAATTACAGCCATAGGTATCGTATAATTTTCTCTGTTTTACGATCCTCTAAACAGTGTATAGGTTCTTACTGCTTCAAGATCGTAAAGTCTTCAACGCTTATGAAACTGGTAAGTTTTATCACTGTGCACCCATTTCAAAGCTCATACCGCCTATCATCTTCGAGTCTTCGTTGATTACAGCATTTACGAAAACGAAAATTATTGGCAGGCATATCTCGCTCAGTGTTTGTACAATTAGAAAATGTTTTGTTGTTAAAAATATATTCACAGCGAGGTTGAATTCTAAGAAAATAACTTTAAAATGCATCTGAAGTTAATGATTTCTAGCACAGATGAAAGGATAAAAGCTGGAGCTAATAGCACGTGAAACTTTTTTGCGATAGCAATTTGCCTCAAAACTGAAGAGATGAGTTTCCAGTTGTACGCGATCTTTGAAACCGCGCAGTCATGCTCATTTTCCTTCTGCCTCTGTTATACTGGCATAAAAGAATATCGATTGAATGTGTAAGTGATTTTGGCTGCATTCCGAAATCAGCTGTTAATTTTGAAAGCACCATTGCACCCTTGTCAAATGCCAAAAGTTTGGATCAAGATTGAGACTGTTTCTTAACTGAGATTTTGGCAATAGGATACTTTTGGCTTGATTTCATATCTTATGAAAATTTTTAAAATAATATTATTATTAACTACTAATGAATGTTCAATTTTTATCACTTCGTTGAACATATTTCGTTTTACAAAAATGCAGAAATAGATTTTTCATATTTCGTGCCGTGGAAGATGTCTAAAATTTACGGCAAATTATTAATAACAAAGCAAAAATTTATCTGGCTTATATATTTCTGTACACCTATGAATATTTGCTGACAATAATTTAATAATTCATCATTTCTGTAAATTATTCTAGATATATCTGTGTGTACGCATAAATTGTTAGTGTTATGTGATAATGATCATAATTGTAAAAAGTTCAGTTTGAAATTAGCCACCCATTTAATTTAAATTTTAATCTAATTCCTCTTTTTAATTGTTTAAGCTCAATGTAACTATTATAATTTGATGCTATATAAATGTTTACCTGATAAATGCATAACCCTTGTCCTTGAATACACGAATCTCTTGGATGGATCCAAAAGGCGAGAAGGTTTTTTGCATTAATTCTTCTGTTAGACCATTGGTTAGTCCTCCGCAATATACCGTGCAGTTGGTTGGACTACTTTGATTGTACACTTCGTCGAATGTCAATGGCTTCGCATTTGCTGGAAACAAAAAATAAAAAATAAAGGTTATTACATAAATCTATCGGTTCATGAATCAGGATAATCCTGCAACATGAAGCGACTTTAATAAAATATAATTTTTTGTCTGTTTATACATTGGCGTAATTAGGCGAGGGTCAAGGTGACCCTAGGACATTGTTAATTCCAAAAATTAAGATTGAAAAAAAGAGAAATTCATAAATTCCAAATTCAGGAGTTTGTTAATTCCAAAAATGAAAATTAAAAAAAGAGGAATTGTTAATTGAAAAAATACATAGAATCCAGTGATTTATTAAATAAATCATTTTTTAATTAATCATGTGAATATGATACTTCATATGTATGAAGTCTGGATAGAGAATTGAAATGTTCATCATTAAACTTTGTTTGGAGATAACGTGTGTTACTTAATGTACACATGAACGATGAAGTAGAATTACGAATTTTCCGATCTAAAATTTCTCGTAAAATTGATTAGCTTTATGCGAAAGTTACACTTAAGACTAGTCAGCTACAAAGTTCACCTCTACTACGAAGATTAATCGTAAAATTGCAAATAAACGATGTGCTAGCTACAAGGAGTGTTAGGAAATTTCATCAGAAAATTAACAATCTTCACGGTTCATTCTTGTTCGATGCTGTGTTTAAACGATGACTTGTACAACATTTTACATCGTTACATAAACCAGTCAAACTTTGATAATCTCTGTTAAACGTACACTAGAGTTCGAAAGTTTTATGATACTTACAACGGAACAGCGATTGACTTTCAATTCTGAAGTTATAGGAGACCTCAAAAATAATAATTCTGTAAAATTATGCACCCCTTTGAAGCAACAGAGAAATTCGTGTCCACAATTTTGTAATGTTTAATTATCTATTCAAAGTTGTATTAAATGCAAAATCTACTGTAACCTACTTGTAAGGTGTTAGCTATGCTACGTCAAGGATTTATGGGTCATAATTAGCATTTCACAGCTGGATTATATTAGATTTCAGATGTTTATTAAAAATTAAATTTTTTGAAGTGTTCACTGAATTTTTCATTTAATATAAATCAAATAGTTAATTAAACTCTAAAAAAATTTGAATACAAATTTCTCTCTTATTTTACATTATTATTACTTCCAAGGTCTGCTATAATTATAATAAAGTTTATGTCAAATCATTCCCCTTGTTAGTAAATTTTACACAAACTCAAGAAAAAAACAACATTTGTGAAATAGTTCAAAGATACAGAACAAGTATTTTGTTACATTTTATACAACAGTGGAAACGTGCAGGCAATAATGCAGTGATAAAAGATAATATTAAATAAATGATTTTCTGGCATTTGATAAATGATAGCTCTCGTGATAGTATTCCATCTTTTACAGTATTATGAAAATTGAAAATGCTCTTATTATATTGCCGCTTTAATGTGATAGATCTTCCTCCGTCTTAAGTTCACCGATAGCTGAGGAAAGGGGTCAGGTTTGACGACGCGGAACACGGCTGCAGCAGGCTAGTTGTTCAAGATATCGAACGGCAATGCCAAAGAGGTTGAACCCCCGTAAGTTTACGATCGTACGGGGGCTTAGCCTATACGAAGGTAGCAGGCCACGGGTGTAAACGCGACCGGTAAACCACGGCCTGTAATTGCCTCGTTCGAGGATAGAAGGTTCTCAGGACGTCGGAACGTCCCGTTAAGAACTTACCACGGGGACGTTCTCTTCGTTTCTGAAAGCTCGGCATTATCTCTTTATTGCCCCCTGAACGTTATTCTCAGTATTCTCGGAATGTCGTCCCCCCACTGGCTTGTGTTATCGGTTCGCTTTAAAAAAAAGAAAAAAAAAAAAGAAATTTCTTCCTACTAAAACGCTTACGTAGCTACTATAATATCGATTTTTCTCTCGTGTCCATGAAATTATTATTTCCTTTTTACGAGGCCTCGAGACTCTGCTGCTTTCGATCGATCCTGAATATCGTGAATGTCAAAGCATCATTCGCTGTTGGACACTTCGTTTTCTGTTCTATTGTTTAGAATAGCCGATTATTTGCCGATTTATTGAGCGATACAGCATTTAAAACATGATATCTCAATTTTATAACGTTCATAAAATTAAATTACAAGTCTGAATTTGCAGTAATTTAAAGCTATTACAGTTGTAAGTAGTACAAGTCAATAATTGTTGTCTATTTATTAAAGTTTCCATCATTTTATTTTGTAACTGCTATAATACAATAGATTTATGAATACAGTACAGCTAAACATTTAAAAAATAATATTTCAGTCTTAGGATATTAATAGAATTAGATTGAAAGTAAGCGATATTATAGCTGCAAGTAGTATAAGTCAATAACTTTAGTTCTTCTTACTTCTTAGGAATTGTCATTCTTGATTTTATATTCTTTCGAATCATAAAATATATGTTACAGTAACCTCTATATTTTAATAAATATCTTGTCAAAGATAAAAAATAAAATTTATGCTTTGTTTAAGAAACCTTACATAAAGTAAATTCAGATCAACTAGATAGAATTCTCTTCCATAGAATCATAAAGCAATAAATCATCTTGCTGTTAGAAATCTTATCGAATATTTCGTTGAACATTCCTTACATAATAAATGAATGTATAATATTATTGCTTTTATGTTGGATAATTTGTTATCCGATATCGCATAGAAGTTTTTTTATTGAGAAAGTTTGACGCGACACGCACAATCTTTTAATCAGGGGGGATACTTTAACAAGATGCAAATAATTCTCCTTATCGCGAACAACAGACGTGTTGGATAAAATTATACAGAAAAGTATAATGTATTAGCCCTGAACATGCAAAATTCTTTCGGTTACGTTACTTACAATTAGACAACTTTTTGTATATTACTTAATTCTTTTTCATGCGTTGAATTTAAGGAGCTCATTATCAGGGATGTCCATCAAGTGAAATTTTTCTAACTTAAATAATCATTTTCTAAATATTCTTTCGATTAGATGTTAAACGATTTCGTGATAGTGTTATAATATCCAAGTTAATAGGAAGTGAAGTCAACTGATTTTCCCGAATATCATATCTTCCCAGTCTATCCCTCAGAGAATCGATGCTCGAAAAATCAAAATTCATATCGGATGATCTATTCGAGAAATTGCTACGGAAGCTTTGAAGGAGTTACATCAGATATACTTGGCTGAAAAATCGAGGGGTTTACTGTAGATCCATACTATCATAAAGGTTTTCATAGTAGCAAGACACCGTGAATGAAAATCAGCTTTAAAAGAAAAGACCGTGAAGATGAGATTGGTTTCTCTTGAGAGGCTTCCTTAAGTAGAAAGAGTAACGATTTGCGATCGAAAATTCTATCCAGGCTTATTCGTGCCTGGAACTTTACTGAATTTTGAGTGATTCATCATCGATTCTTGTTTAAAATAATGTGACCTTATATCATGATGAAAAATGGCTGATCATGAATTGATATTTAAAATATCATAATTAATTTTGAATTTGTCAAATCAATACTAAACTTTGCAAATCAAAAATACATATTAATAATATATCAGACAAATTTCAATTCCTAGGTACTATGTTTCTTACAGAGGTGCTATGTGTTTGAAGGTAACTAGTAATTAGTAACAAATAGAAAATAATTAGTAGTCAATTTGTGTATCAATTCTCTCCCTTTAAAGACCTAAAATCATCTATTTCCTCAGCTTGATTTCCAACAACAGACCCTTCTTTCGAACGGTCACGAAGATTCAGTGATGAGAGTAAGTGACACATCATAAACCTCAAAATTTCCTGCATCATTTCCTCTCTTACATCCCCGTCTTTCAATAAGCGACCTATATTTCGCGCATGCGTGACCAAGAATATCAAAGACGGACACGTCTCGTTTAAGAAAATCTCTCTGGATCTATATTTACCGGACCTTCCGATTCACCGTGTCGAAGAATAAGGTGCATCGTGATTTATGGGTCGTGGCTTGGACGTACACTGAGTAATGTAGGTTTTTTTGGTTTAAAGGGAAATAAGGATGGGAGATTTACACCATTTGCCTTTAGTTTTGACAAAACCCAGAGAGAACCTAATTTAAAATTTCTTATTTCCACATCTAAAGGACATGAACAAAAATGCAGGTGGTAGGAATTTTCGTTTTCTACATTTCCACATCTTTCTGCTCTTCTTCCACACTTAAAAATTTTAAAAACCTAAGTGTCAGTCGACTCTACATAAATAGTAGGGAGGTCTACCATGCTCGACACTATATAATAGCGAAGCCTACTATGCTCGATACTGTACATAAGTATCCGACTCCATTAAAGAACGAGCCTGTAGTTTCACGCAAGCTCGGTTCATTAGGCAGACTTGATTACACGAACGCTGCTAAATCGAACTTCAACATACTCAATCAACTCGTGCCGGTTCGAACTTTATTCTTATCTGGTCCTGGGAACAACTTGGCGATCGGGTAACTAGATTTATCGCATGGATCTAGGAACTTTTTACTCCGCTGAATCCCCGATAACTCGCCCCGTTCCGTTCGCTCCGCTCCGTCCAAGCCTGGTGTACCCGACGAGATGAAAGATCAACAAGAAATTCGTGGGGTAAACTCGAAATTTTCCCTTGACCGAGCCAGCTCGTAGTTTCGAGGTCAAATAAGAAAAAAAATTACAAAAATAAAAAAAAAATAAATAAAAAGGAAAGGAAGAAGAAGAATGAGAAAGAAATGGCGGGAAACAAGGAAGTGAGAAAAGAAGAGAAAAAGGAAGAGAGAGAGTACGATGTTGGACTTTCGCTTGCTCTCATTCCACGGGAAGGAAGTTTCCACTTTTCTCCATTTTATGGCGAATGGAATCTCTAGTGGTCGACGATGGAACTCCAGTGTACGTATCTCGTACCCCCTTAAATAACGCAGATACTTGAAGTTTCGTTGGCACTGGCCACCCTTAGCAAACGTGCCAATATTCCACCGGGGGGGAGGGGGAGGGGGGAAGGGGGTAAATTCGTGATAGCGACTC